GACCCGAACCATCAACTTTCCTGCTCCTCTGATGCTGCCTGGCCTGCTGTGTTCCTCCAGCTCCATACTGTGTTGTCTCTGACTCCAGCATCTGCAGTTCTTGCTATCTCCCATTCTGTACCATGAACCCTGTAAGAAGAATTTGCCTTTCAGTGCAGTGCCATCTGTTTATGTATTGTAGTTTATTCGTATGAAGAGCTGGATATATAACTTCAGGACTGTTAGTGGAATGCAAATATCATTGATAAAACTGAAATGAAGTTGAAATTGTGAGTGCTGGAAATCAGAAATACAAATGAGAAATACTGGAGACATTAAGCAGGTCAGGCTGTATCTGTGGAGCAAAAATCTGAGTTACAATTTCAAGTCAATGACCTTTCATCAGATTTGTAGAATGCTTGCATAATGTTTTCTTGTTCTGAAGAAAATCACCAACCTGAAATATTGACTGTTTCTGTCTCCACAGATGCTGCCTGAACTGCTGAGTATTTTCATCATTTTCTCTTTGTATTTCTCTATTGCTGCATGCAGATTGAACCAGAAAGTGAAATTTCCAGTGTCTGGATTTTTATAGGAAGTTGTAAAGAGGGTGTAAAGTTAAAAATAAAACCCATCCATGCTGGTGTTCACAGGTTTTCAACAGAAGTCTTTAAAATACTTCTGTGCTGCATGATTTAAAAAAAAAATTGACACTTATGAGCTTTGTAAGACTTAACAGTAAATGGAGTTCTGAGGACTTTTTAAAAATTGTTACTTCTTTGGTGTACAGTGCATCATAAACATACTTTATTCCATTGCATGTGTGAGAGTGCATTTGTTTCAGAATTTTTTTCCCAATTTCAAGCAGACCATATGAAAGGCTGGAGTTCACATTAAAATGCCAAACAGTCAACTTTGTCAGGCATTAAGAAAGCATTTTACTGAGGGAAATTACAGTACTTTTTTATCGGCTGAAAACAGCATGAATGAATTTATAGATGTGACAAAAGAGGTTATGATCGGAACATTTATTAATCATTGTGCACTTTGAATGGTATATTGGGAATTCAAATTGAACCATTTTTTGTAATTTGATACAGATTTTCATATCCTGACTGGTCAGTCAGTATGTAGACTATGATGATATCTTGTATGAAGTTATCTGATGCATTGGATAAGCTCACAATTGTGAATGTTAACAGGCTTCCATTTGCAAGGACCATAAATAAGACAAATGTGGTGGCTTGGTAACAATTTATCAGGCTGATCAATGTTAGAGCTGAGGCAGGGAGTCTATTTCTGCACATATACAGTCCCAAGACTGAAACCAAACCTTTTCTAGTTTGTGGGTAGAAGAAAGCCAATGAACACGAGTTGAAATAAACCCAACAAATATTTACCCAGCTCAGGCATAAAGAAAGCAGCAGGGTTCCTGGTCTGTGGTTTTAGCAATTTCTCTTTTCATCCAACTCTAAAGTAAACTTTTTTTAAAGACTACATTTGGAGTCTTCACCAGTTCACCTAATGCTTTTATATTAAAAGTTATATCTTCTTGTTTACCTGTGAATGCTGATGCATCTCCAGGGAAATATGATTATTGAAAGCCTAGTGTGTTTGATTTGCCAGTATTATCAATTATATGCAAGATAATATGCCTATATAGCACTTTGCTCATCCTAAGAATCTCATAGCCACTCCCACTCATAATTTGGCACTGCCAAAAATAATTTGAAGAAAAACACAGCAGCCAGTTTGTATATGACTATATTCCCAGAGCAGTGAGTTATGATCTGATAGTGTCTTTTCGATTATGCTAGTTGAAGGCAAAGTATCAGCCAGAAGAGTGAAGAACTGTGTTTTGAATAACGCCACAAATATTTCTACATCCATGTGTGCAAGCAGACTAGGCTTTCAATAGCACCTCAACCAAATTGCAGTATCTCTAATAAAGCAGTACTCTTCTTCAGTCTTGGAGCTTAGATTATGTGCTCTTTGCTATTGCAGAGGAACTGGCCAGAAGTAGCACCCCAAGCCAGAATAGGCCCAGTAAAGTAAGGTTTAACTTCCTTTTCCTAGGATGGATTTTCATTCCAGGGTCTGGAACCTGATGTGGTCTCAGTCCCATGACATGACCACACAGCTTGTTCATGACCTATCAACTTCAACCTTTACAAAAAGTATCACATTCAAGGACAGAGCTTACCATTGTATTAAAGATGACATGTAGGGTTCTGGAGTTAGCTTGCCACTGGGGAGGTCCTTCAATATAAACTCATAAGTCACACTGACTGAGTTTGAAGGCCCCAGCCCCTCCAAAGAAGAGGTTTAAAACAGCCACAACTGCCAGGCTCTGATCATAGAGACCAGGGCAATTCTTCCTTTGCATGACCAGAGTTGAAGCTGTAGCCCAGTGGCTGTGACAGGTATGGGAGCCCATGTGGGATTATTTATAAATCCTCCTTGCAGTCCACTGAGACCACCTTAAAGAACTGACTATGGTTTGGCAATTTTAATCAGTGTGCCAGTATATGTAATGGGCTGCATTTGGCTACTACCTGAAGGTAAGTAACTATCCTGATGTCAAGGTAACCTCTCTAGAAGTGACTCAAGGTTGGGGCATGGCAGTAGTCCAGTGCAGTGGCTACTGGTCCAAGATTCGGGCCTGCAAACCTCTGATCCTACATGACAAATGAAAATCTGGCCCCTAATACACCACATGGAGCTATCTCTGCACTTAACAAAGAAAACCTGCCCACCTCTGCTATTGGCCAAATTTCCTTCTGTTACTGCTGTGCTCGCTGACGTACTCGTTCTGGAGCACTTCCCCTGTTCTGGAGACTATATATTATTGTCATTGTAAGGCTAAGATATAGATCATTGATGCTTGATGTAACACAAAGCTGATTCTTAGCAGGGAATTCCAATCAAAGGTCAGATAAAGAATGAAGATGGGGGAGTTTTGTGCCTCATTGTGATCAAGTGGAGCTGGGGCAGCATTCTCTGCACAGTTTGTCTCAGTGTTGACCCCAAAGATTTTCCCATGGTCTTGCCAGACAAACCCTAGCTCCAGAAATCTGGAACTTACCTTCAACACTATATCTCTCACTGAATATCAGTCACTCCTCTATTAGACTATTTCTTTCCTACACAATGACGTCCTTTATAAAGACACTGTTGTGACCATGTTCCACTACCTTGGGGCTGTTTCAGTTCAGCTCAGATCACACCCCATGAATGTTTTCTGTCCTGCACATGAGGTCAGAATCAAGTGTGCCCGTTTATCATGGAACGAACACATTAAAAGTAATCAGCTGTGAGGTACAAATGTTCTCTTTATCCCACTCTCCCTCCCAGCGTTTGGCATTGCACTGTCAATACGTAGATCTTCACAAGTACCACCCTCCACTTGAAAAGCCAAGGAGCTAAAACATCTCAAATTTTAATCAGATGTTGACAACAGTAATGAACTAGTCACTGTTCCTATTATTAAGACCTGAATAAAGCCATGTTACTTTTGTGTGAAAAGAAAACTCTGAAGATTTATACAATTTTGCTTTATCTGGCTAATAGATCTGCCTGTATTTTCACAGGAACCCACTGGGGTCAGGATTTTGTGAACTTGTTATAAGAAGGTTTAAGTTGACAGCTGCCCTGAGCCAGTGTGAGCACTGAGGGTCTGAATTCCACCTGAAATAAGCGTGAGATTTGCATCAGCTGTTTATACAAGTTTTGATTTGAATCTCTCACGTTATGCCTCAATGCAAAATTCCATTGCTTAACAATTGAGTTTTTATTCGAAAAATCCCATTGGAGTTTCAAGCTCCCTGCAGTTTATATCTCTGCAGTTGCTATGGTGCTGTTTCAAATTTATGACTTTGGATTCATTTTAGCATCAGCTGGAAAGAGTTTCTGAATT